TGTCCCCGATGTCGGGTGTCCCGAGGGTCCCTTGGCCCCGTGTGCCCCCTTGACACGGAGGGTCCCAGTTCCCGGGGGGAGGTCCCTTCTCCCAGGGGTCCCCTGTCCCAGGGTTGTCCCCGGGGTGTCCCCTGTCCCCAGGGAGGCCCTTGGTCCTTGTCCCCCGTGTTCCCGTGTCCCTTGGGGTCCCCTTGTCCCCTCGGGTCCCCTGACCCCGATATCCTTTATGTCCTTTGTCCTGGGGTCCGGTGTCTCCTGTGTCCCCCCACGTTACTGGGGGTCCCTTGTTCCTCGACTGTCCCTCATCCCCAGTGGTCCCTTGTCCCCCACGTGTCCCCGTGTCCCTGGAGCTCCCTTGTCCCCAGGGTCCCTTGTCCCCAGGGTCAGTAGACATAAGTGAGGCTGCTGGAAAAGGGGCTTTATTTTAAATTAAAGTCAATAAATAACAATACTTAATAACAAATAATAATAATAATAATAGTAATGATGTAGAAAAAGAGGCGCCGGCAGCAGCTGGAGTCACTCCAGTGCCTGGGGACAGTTGTGGGGTCCCCCCATGGGGGTCCCGTGTGATCTGTGGGGGGTCCCAGAGGGATCCTGGTGAGGTCCCGTTTGTGTCCGTGCGGTTCTGAGGATCCCTGGGCGGGTCCGTGGGATCCTGGTGGGGTCGGTGGGATGGGTCGTGGTGGGACCTTGGGGGTCCTTGTGGTGTCTCTGTGGGGTCCTGGTTGTGTCCGTGGGGTCCTACTGAGGTTGGTGGGGTCTGTGGGGTCCCAGGAGCCCTTGTCGGGGTCCCACTGTGGTCCTGGTGAGGTCCTGGTTGTGTCCATGGGGTGTTGGGGTGGTCCCGGTGGGGTTCGGGGGTCTCTAACAGGCGGGGACCCCCTCGAGGTGGGCGGCGATCCCCTCCAGGCACCCCCGGAGCCGCGCCAGGGCCACCCCGGCCACGGTGTGGGGAGCCTCGGCCAGCGGGGCCGGGGGGGCCGGGGGGGGGGTCACGGGGCGGGGGGCAACCCAGCAGGGCCCCCAGGACCCCCAGGAGGCTGTGCAGGTTCTCCAGGTCGTTGACCACCTGTGCCAGGCGCAGGTCACCCCCGGGCACCGCCCCCAGGAGCCGCTGGAACAGCTGGAGCCGCTGGGCTGCCA